CTGTCTTCTGGCTTTCTTCTGAGAGTTTCAAAAGCCTTTCTGATCTTTTGAAGACTATGCCTTGCAGTATCATTGGTTCCTACATGAGCCAACATGAAAGGGGGAGGGTCAGTAGGCTTGATGAGCCTTCCTGTTATTATCTTAACAATCATATATTTTCAAAATATATAAATAAAAGGTTTTAATGAGACATGTTGTGTCCACATACATTTTGATCTGTATTGGTTCAACCTCTGACTTGCTAGCAAAACTGAATTACCATATTGCGAAATGAGACATGTCTAAAATGTTTGTCATCCACTTGAAAGGTTTGGAAAGCTTGGGAGTTGGACTCGTATCATGGAGTTTGATAAGTGGCATTCTAGGGGTCTACACACTGACCAGCTTGAAACTACATGGAATGGCAGCATAGATCCAGCCACAAACATTTTTGGGAGGGAAAAGCCATCCTCCTCTCCACTCCACCCACTTCCATCTCCTTGCCTGCCTATGGAAGTCAAAGAGAGAAGCAAGGGGTGAACATCTTTTGCCTTCTCTGCTGCATTCATGTCCCCCTTAAATAGTGATAGGGGTCTTCCTTCCTTAGTTTTCAAACAAAGTACAAAGTCCTAGTTTTAACGTTTAAATGCTCTACATAGTTTGGGTCCTGGTTACCTACTGGATCACCTTCTCTTGCACAATCCATGGCCATTGAGGACATTGAGGACCTCTGGTGGATGCTGACTCCAACCAGCCAGAACCCAGAGGAACCCCTTTTTGACAGACTGTGGAATGACCTGCCATAAGCCAACATTCAATGCCTTTACAGTCATATACAAGGAGACACACGAAAACAAAGGCAGAGGCTTCTCCTTTCATTTCTGGCATCTGGAGGTGGTGCTCATCTCTGGCTCTGGGGAGGTGCTTTTTCTCCATTTTCAAGCCAAGGAGCCTACGTTGTCACTTCGTGGTTGTGTGGCCGGCAAGATTGCTTGGAGTGTTGTCTCTTTGCCTTTTCCCGCCAAAGTGGTACCTATTTATCTACTCACATTTGCATGTTTTTTGAACTGCTAGGTTGGCAGGAGCTGGAGCTGACAGGTGGGAACTCATCCCATCTTGTGATTTGACCCACCAACCTTCGGGTCAGCAGTTCAGCAGCACAAGGGTTTAACCCATTGCACCACCACGGCCTCATAGGTTCTGTTTGTTGATAAGTTGAATTTGTTAGTTGGAACAGGTACTTTTTAAAATGTAACTCCAGTCATATAGGAAGGTAAGGAAAGGAGGGAAGGAAGGAAGGAGGCAAGAGAGAAGGAAGGAAAGAGAAAAGAGAAGGAAAGAGAAAGAGAGGGAGGGAGGAAAGAGGGAAGGGAGGATGAAAAGGTGGAAGAGAAGGAGAGAGAGAAAGAGGAAGGAAGAGAGAGAGGGGGGGAAGGAAAGAGAAGGAAGGAAAGACAGAAGGAAAGGAAGGAAGGACATGGAAGGAGGGACAAAGAGGGAGGTAAGGATGGAAGGAAGAGAGGGAAGGAGGGAGGAGAGAAGGAAGGAAAGAAAAAGGAGAAGGAAGGAAGGAGAAAGAGAGGAAGCACAAAAAGATGGAATGGAAGGAATGAGGGAGAAAGAGGGAAGGAAGGAAGGGAGAGAGGGTAGGAGGAAGGAAAATGAGAAGGAAAGGCAAAAGGGAAGGAAGGAGAAAGAGAGAGAGGGAGAGATGAAGGAAGGAAAGACAAAAGGAAGGACAAGAGAGAGAGGGAGGAAGAAAAGAGGGAAGGAAGGACAAAAGGTGGAAGGAAAGGAAGGAGGAAGAAAGAGGGAAGGAAGGAAAGACAAAAGGGAAGGAAGGAAGGAGAAAAGGGAGGAAGGACGAAAAGATGGAATGGAAGGAGCAAGGGAGAAAGAGGGAAGGAAGGGAGAGAGGGAAGGAGGAAGGAAGGAAAACTAGAAGGAAAGACAAAAAGGGAAGGAAGGAGAAAGGGAGAGAGGAAAGAGAAGAGAGGAAGGACGAAAAGGTGGAAGGGAGGGAAGGTGGGAGGGAGAAAGAGGGAGATAAGGAAGGAAGGGAGAGGGAAGGAGGTAGGAAAGAGAAGGAAGGAAAGGCAAAAGGAAAGGAAGCAAGGGAGGGAGGGAGGAGAAAGAGAGGGAAGAAGGAAGGAAGGAAAGACAAAAGGGAAGGAAGGAGAAAGAGAGGAAAGAGGAAAGGAAGGACAAAAAGAGGGAAGGAGGGCGGGAAAAAGAGGGAGGTAAGGAAGGAGGGGAGAGGGAAGGAGGGAGGAAAGAGAGAAGGAAGGAAGAATAGAATGGTGGGAGAGAGGAGGGCCTGAGAAAAGGGCATCCGGCCCCTGGGCCTGGGTTTGCTCAGACCTGCTTTAACTCCTATAGTGTGTGTGCGTTTATCTATATCATGATTGTATATCTTTTATATTCATATGTTTTTGATAGTTGTTCCCTTGCCTCCAGCTATTAAAAGAGGCGGTTAGAATAATAATAATAATAATAATAATAATAATAATAATAATAATAGAACACCAGAAGCGACTTGCAGTTTCTCAACTTGCTTCTGACATGAATAATAATGATAGTGACATATAATGATACAACAATCAGGGGCGGCTTGTCCATTACGCAAAGTAAGCGGTCACAGAACACTTTTTTTTTGCCAGGGGCACAGAGATGCCTCTGTAAATGCCCCTCGACCGCCACTTGAGGAGTGCCCCCTCAGCTCACAACAGCCCTAGCAGTCCGGGGGGAGCCTCGGCTTTCTTGGCTCGCTGCCGGGCGATCTTCTTCCCAAAGGGGCCGGGCCCTTGAGCCTCGCCTAGCCCCTCTCGTTCCTGCTCCACCCGGCCACCGGGTGTGCCAGCAGAGCTGGCGCTCAATCGTTCTCCGCGTTCGATCCCTTCCCCATGACCGGCTCCCTTTCCTGATCCCCTGGCGCCCCACCCGCCTCCTCTCTTCTCCCCAATCTGCAGGTGGGCCAAGGGGCGGAGCTGCCGCGCCTGGCCCGCTTCGGGTCCGAAGGCGTGTCTGAAGACCCCAGCGTGCACACCAAAAGTCGCCTCTTCTCCTGACTTTCTCTTCAGCCATTGGGACCAAGAAGGCCTGTAGCGAGGGGGGGGGGGGTTAGGGGTTCAACCCCCCCCCGAAATGTTTCAGATTTTTTTAAAAAACCCAGTTTACTCATGAATTTTAACTGGTTAACCAAATCCCCATGCTAAGTCTATGAGATGCAAAAAATTAAGAGTCCCTCCAGAACTGCAAGCACTATCTCAAGCAAATATTTATTTATTTATTATTCGAACTTATATGCTGCCACTCCCCTGGGGCTCGGAGCGGCTTGCAAGAACAGGCTAAAATCTAACACAATTTAAAAACAATTTAAAACAATTTAAAAATAACAATATCAGAGATCAAAGTCCCGTTGAAACAGATATGTCTTACATGCCCTGTGGAAAGCTGATAAGTCCCGCAAGGCACGGACTTCAGGTGGCAGAGTATTCCAGAGTGATGGTGCCACTGCTGTAAAGGCTCTGCGTCTGGTTGCTGTTAGACGCACGGTCTTGAAACTGGGAATTTCCAATAGATCTTGGTCCTCAGAACGGAGGGATCTCTGGGGTTGGTAGGGGGTGAGGCAGTTCCTCAGGTACATCGGCCCCAGACCATGCAAGGCCTTAAATATTGACAATTTATTCTCTGGAATACTCTGCCACCTGAAGTCCGTGCCTTGCGGGACTTATCAGCTTTCCGCAGGGCATGTAAGACATATCTGTTTCGACGGGACTTTGATCTCTGATATTGCTGTTTTTAAATTGTTTTAAATTGTTTTTAAATTGTGTTCGATTTTAGCCTGTTCTTGTAAGCCGCTCCGAGCCCCAGGGGAGTGGCGGCATATAAGTTCGAATAATAAATAAATAAATAATTTGGGTGACTTTATGGTAATTCTGGAGGGACTCTTAATCTTTTGCATCTCATAGACTTAGCATGGGGATTTGGTTAACCAGTTAAAATTCATGAGTAAAACGGTTTTTTAAAAAATCTGAAACATTTCGGGGGGGGGGGTTGAACCCCTAAAACCACCCCCTCGCTACAGGCCTGGTTGGGGATGTGTGTGTTGAATGCTCATTAAGGAGGCCAGACTTGGTGGAGGTGGTTGACAGGGGCGGAGCTGCAGGCTATTGAAGGCTGCTCTGCCCCCTGCTGTGCTCTTTGCTTCAGCGTGAGCTAGGAGGCAGGTTTCAACCCCCCCCCGTGAAATTTTCAACCCCCCCCCCCGAAAATTTCAACCCCTCCCGAATTTTTTTTCTCTTCAGCCATTGGGACCAAGAGAGAGAGAGAGAGAGAGAGACCCTCCGGCTGGAGGTATCTCCCACCTCCGCTCCCTCCTTTGTTTTTGCGCCTACCTTCAGGAAAGGTGGGCATCTCCACCTCTCTCTCTCTCTCTCTCTTGGTCCCAATGGCTGAGGAGAAAGTCAAGAGAAGAGGTGACTTTTGGTGCACATGCTGGGATCTTCAGGCATGCCTCCGGATCCAAAGTGGGCCAGGCATGGGAGCAAGTGCGGCAAGTAACTGGGATGTATAGTTCACCAATACAAGCCCGACAGCTCATTGGAGGGAAGGATACTAGAGACAAAGTTGAAGTACTTTGGCCACATCATGAGGAGACAGCAAAGCCTAGAGAAGACAATTATGCTGGGGAAAGTGGAAGGCAAAAGGAAGAGGGGCCGACCAAAGGCAAGATGGATGGATGGCATCCTTGAAGTGACTGGACTGACCTTGAAGGAGCTGGGGGTGGTGACGGCCGACAGGGAGCTCTGGCGTGGGCTGGTCCATGAGGTCACGAAGAGTCGGAGACGACTGAACGAATGAACAACAACACATAGTTCACCTACAATCAAAGAGCATTCTGAACTCCACCAATGATGGAATTGAACCAAATATGGCATACAGAACTCCCACACGAACAGAAAATATATATCAATGATTGGTTGGGGGGGGGGGGGGGCGCCAAAATACTGTTTGCTTACCGTTGAAAATTACCTAGGGCCGCCTCTGTATGTCTATGTATTGCTATGCTTGTTTCCCGTGGCCCCTCCCGCTCTGCCTGCAGCCAGGGCCCGCCCCAAAGGGAGGAGCCTGAGTGGAGTCTCGCGCTCGCCTCTGGGTCTGGGTCTGGGGCTCCTCCCTGCGGGGCGTGTCGTGGCTGCAGGCAGAGCAGGAGAGGAGAGGAGGGGGGGCGGCAGAGCTGCAGCAACAGCAGCGGCGGGCGGGGCGGCAGCAGCAGGCACAGCAGCAGCAGCAGCAGCAGTGTCGGGGCCGGCGCCTCCTGTCACTCCCTCTCTCCCTCCCTCCCTCTCTCTCTCTGCCCAGCTGGTGGCCAAAAGCCGGCGAGCCCCGAGGAAGGCACCCGTCCGCTTGGAGAGCCTCTCCTCTTGACCGGGGAAAAGAGAGGAAAGGGGGAGAACCCCACCCTCGGGGGCTTCGGGAAAAAGGAAAGGCGCAGGGCGGCTTGAGCCATGGCCGGGGGCGCGCGGAGCCTGCTGGCGGTGGCTTCGCTGCTCCTGGTGGGAGCCAACACCCAGGTGAGGGGAGGGGAAGGCATCGGGGAAGGGGAAGGGGAGAAGGGGCTCCCAAGGTCAGCAAGGAGGAGACCTGCCTCCCCGGGGATGGATGTCCCACTCTGATCCTCTCCATGGATAAGAGGAAGGAAAGAAAGAAAGAGGCTTTTGCTTTGGAGGGGGCTTTATGTAAGAATCCAGGAAAAGGGATTGGATGGGCAGCCAAACAGGCACCCTCCTGCAATGCCTTGGTTTCTGCCAATGCCTTGGTTTCTGTGCTTGGAGCAGGACTGCATCTCTCCCACCTTTCAAAAGGAGACAAGGGGCTTGGCATGGCATCCTTTCTTCTCCCCCATCTGCCTCCCTCCTCCTCCTCCTCCACTGCAACATCTGCCTCCAGGATGAGAAGGAAAAGCCTTGGCAGGGCCTGCAACCAAACAGAGACACCTGACAAACACACCCATGCAGTCCCCCCCCCCCTTTTTGCTTTTTCCTCTCTGCATGTGGCCCTTTGGTCTTTCATTTCCAGACCTGTTTGCAAATAAACCTCACTGACCTGACTGTGTTGTCCAAGGCTTTCATGGCTGGAATCACAGGGTTTGCTTGGAGTTTTCCCTGCTGTCTGGCCATGTTCCAGAAGCATCCTCTCCTGACGTTTTGCCTGCATCTATGGCATGCATCCTCATGGCTGGAATCAATGGGTTGCTTTGAGTTTTCGTGACTGAAGCATTCTCTCCTGACATTTCACCCACATCTATGGCAAGCATCCTCAGAGGTTGAGGGGTCTGCTGGAAACTAGGCAAGGGATGTTTATTTCTCTGTGGAATGTCTGCTCTTGTCTGCTCGAGGCAAGTGTGAATGTTGCAATTGGCCACCTTGATTAGCATTGAATGGCGTTACAGCTTCAACGCCTGGCTGTTTCCTGCCTGAGGGGAGCCTTTGTTGGTAAGTGTTAGTTGGCCCTAATTGATTTTAGTCTGGAATTCCCCTGCTTTTTGAGTGTAATAATTTTTTTAATTGTACGTAAGAATCCAGGAAAGGGGTTGGATGGCACCCTCCGCCAATGCCTTGGTTTCTGCCAGTGCTGTGAATGTTGCAATTGGCCAGCTTGATTAGCATTGCATGGCCTTGTAGCTTCAAAGCCTGGCTGCTTTCTGTCTGGGGGAATCCTTTGTTGGGAGGTGTTAGCTGCCTTAATTGATTCTTGTCTGGAATTCCCCTGCTTTTTTAGTGTAAGATTTTTTTTTGATTCTGTGTAAGAATCCAGGAAAGGGATTGAATGGGGAGCTAAGAAGGCACCCTCCGCCAATACCTTGACTTCGGCCAATGCTGTGGATGTTGCAATTGGCCAGCCTGATTAGCATTGCATGGCCTTGCAGCTTCATAGCCTGGCTGCTTCCTGCCTGGTGGAATCCTTTGTTTGGAGGTGTTAGCTGGTCCTGATTTATTCTTGTCTGGAATTTCCCTGCTGTTTGAGTATTTACTGTCCTGATTTTAGAGGGTTTTTTTAAAAAAAATATTGGTAGCTGGATTTTCTTCATTTGCATGGTTTCCTCCACATGCTCATGGATTTCAATGGCTTCTCTGTGTAGTCTAACATGGTGGTTGTTAGAGTGGCCCATTCGGAAGAACTTCTCGACAGCGATGGAATATGCTGCCGCAGAATGTGCAGGAGTCTCCTTCTCGGGAGGCATTTATGTAGAGGCCGGGTGGACCATCTGTCGAGGGTGCTTTGATTGTGCTTTTCCTGCATGGCAGAAGGGGGTTGGGCTGAATGGCTATCTTCCAAGGATTCTATGACCTGCTGAATTAGTCATAGCTGCAAATAGTTACTCCTGCCTTGGATGCCCAAAGCTTGGCCAGGTTATTTGGGCAAGCATCTCTGCATAGAAGAAAAACAAATGCAGCAAAAGATTCTAGAGGTGACCGCTCGTGGCCTTTTCGTGCGAACCAACACCAGTAAACATCTTGCTTGGGAAGAGCAGACCCTTGGGAAAGGGAACCAGTCAAAATTGCCAGGCCTTCGCTTAGGTCGAGAGGAGGAGCCCTTTGATTTATCCGCCTGACACAATGATGAGGGTTAAAGAGAGGTTCTCCTGCCTCAGGACGGCAGCGTGTCAGAAGCAAACACTGTGAAAACCAGTGTAGATGCCCTCCCACCCTTTAGGATGAGGCCTGCAGAGTCCTTCCCATCTGCTTGGCAGGGAGAGCCTGGTGGTAGCCAAACCGTGCCTGGTGCTGCTTTGAGTCCTCCCATCTGTGTGGTCAAGGCTGCCACTCTCCGGTTTCTCCGGCCAGCCTTCAAGGGTAGGCTATCGTGTGTTTCTCCAACCAGTATTCCCTGCCCAGGATCCAATGCTGACCAGCTGCTGTGTCCTGGATGGGTCTCCTGTTACTATATATCTTCCTTGTATTGTCGAAGGCTTTCATGGCTGGAATCACTGGGATGTTGGAGTTTTCGAGGCTGTCTGGCCATGTTCCAGAAGCACTCTCTCCTGAGGTTTCGCCTGCATCTGTGGCAGGCATCCTCAGAAGTTGTGAGGTCTGTTGGAAACTAGGAAAATGGGGTTTATATATCTGAAGAATGTCAGGGCAGGAGAAATCACTTCCCAACAAAGGATTCCCCCAGGCAGTAAGAAGCCAGACCTTGAAACTGTCAAGCCATTAAATGCAAATCAAGGTGGCCAGTTGAAACAGTCACACCTACCTCCAACAGACAACAGTTCTTTCTCCCGCCCTGGACATTCTACAGATATATAAACCCCATTTTCCTAGTTTCCACAGATCTCACAACCTCTGAGGATTTTTTTTTTGTCATGAGCGACTTGAGAAACTGCAAGTCGCTTTTGGTGTGAGAGAATTGGCCGTCTGCAAGGATATTGCCTAGGGGACGCCCAGATGTTTTGATGTTTTACCATCCTTGTGGAAGGCTTTTCTCATGTCCCTGCACAGGGAGCTGGAGCTGACAGAGGGAGCTCATCCATGCTGTCCCCAGATTCGAACCTTTGACCTGCCAGTCTTAAGTCCTGCCGGCACAAGGGTTTAACCCATTGCGCCACCTCTGAGGATGCCTGCCATAGATGCAGGCGAAACTTCAGGAGAGCATGCTTCTGGAAGACGGCCATACAGCCCGGAAAACTCACAACAACCCATATATCTTCTTGTTTCTCAATTATTGCCCTCTTCTGAGACATAGTGCTGTGGGCCTTTGGTATCCTTGGTTCCAGGACCTCTGTGGATACCAAAATACATGGGTACTCAAGTCACTTCATACGTAATGGCTTGCTAAAATGGCATCCTTTAAGCAAAATGGCAAAACCATGGTTGGCCTTTTCAATTCAGAGGCTTCTGCTCCTGTTTTAATGTGAAGGGGAGGGAGGAAACATGAGCTCTTTGCATGTGGTTTAGGCTCCATTGTCAGCCACAGCCCTTTACCTCCTATCTCTGGATCCGAAGCTGCTTGACTACTCTTTATCTGGGCCGCCCCACTTGACACCCTTGTTATTCAGAGGAGCTGCCATCATTTTTTGATTGGAGACTGCTAATGTTTCTGACTCAAAGAGCCATTCCCTGCACACACACTCAGTGGGCTTGGGTTCTCTTGGGCCCATTGCATCATCATCATCATTATTGTTATTGTTGTTATTATATTTATGCCCCACTGTTATCTCTTGACTGAGATACAAAGAGGTTCACAGCATTAAAAATAGAACAATGGAATTAAAAACCCACAAAATACAAATATCAAAATAAAATTAAACATAAAAGTCAATGAAAATAGCTGAAAGCATAAAATACAGAATCATAGATATCACGATGCAGGAATATCAGGAATATTTATTTATTTACGACATTTATATCCTGTGCCCTTCTCACCCCGAAAGGGACTCAGAGCGGCTTACAAGTTATATATACATACAATATATTATATTATTAGCATAGCACAATATTAGTATTATATATTGCTATATTGTACTATACTGCAATATTATTAGTAAAATTATATGTAATATATAATATACAATTATATTTTATTATAATATTCTGATCAATATATGTACATACAAGATATATTAGTATAGCACAATATTAATATTATATATTACTATATTGTACTATTCTACTACATTGCAATATTATTAGTAACATTACACGTAATATATAATATACAATCATTATATTGCATTATTTATTTATTTATTGTGTCAGGTGCAAACCAAACAGTTGTATTATATTGCATTATTATTAGTAGTATTATACTTTATTACATTACAATATTGTCAATATTGTATTATATGCAATATATTATATTATTAGCATAGCACAATATTCGTATTATATATTACTATATTATACCATACCACTATACTGCAATATTATTAGTAATATTACATGTAATATATAATATACAATTATTATATTATATTATTATTAGTATTATATTGCATTGCATTATAATATTATCAATATTATTTGTATATACAATATATTATATTATTAGCATAGCACAATATTAATATTATATATTACTATATTGTACTATTCCACTATACTGCAATATTATTAGTAATATCACATGTAATATATCACATATAATTATTATATTGTATTATTAGTAGTATTATATTATGATCAAT